TACTTCATCAACGATACCTCTCCTTTAATGTCTGCATTTTACTAGCACATGAACTTACCACTTTTCGTTTGACGTTAATGCGAACATAACTCCCGGGGGCTACAAGAACAGTATCTGCAGAGTTTATATATACCCCCTGATCATGGATAATGACGAAGATCCCCTCAGAGAAAAACCCAGCCAAGTGGTCATCCAAGTGAAGATCTAATTCTAAATGTAGCTCCCGTACTGAGTCACTACGAGACACTTTCTTTATTTCCTTGTCATTCCGCCCTGAGTTGAAAGTGAAGCAGAGCCCCAGCTCTGTTACAGTAGGTAAAAAATCCTTCCCAGTACACTTGTAATCCAGTAAGCCGAAACGGCATGCTAGATTTCTCTGCAGGTTTGGACCGTAGGCTTCCTGGAATTTCTTGTCATTGAAAGATTTCTTGTCTTTCATTATAACATCAAGAAGTTCTCTCTTGTATTCTTCGGTGCAGTTACTGAGAGCCACAGAAACGTCTTGGAGGTAAGATGCGCAACAGCATAGTAGGGCTTCTCCACATGGCCTTCCCTTTCTGACATGCGCTGTTGCATTACAAACGGGTAAGTCTAGCCCCAATGATTGAAACATTACGTCATCGTCTGTCATGAAAATTTTGTTTTTCGTGAACTTTGTCATGGGGCACAAAGTAACTGCAGGAAAAACCATTGTATCTGGGTATTGGATCCTCATGACCGTGGCAATGGGGTATTGAAAATACTTGCTAAAGCTTCTATACATGAAATACAAGATCAAACCAGTTGAGGCCAGTAGTAAGATAAGCCACAGTATTCGCACATAAAGAGATGCCCGAAAAAACATGTTTCGGAAACCATGAAGGCTTGTGTTTTGTGCAAAATCACCCCACTTTTCAGTTTCTGGAGTTTCAGCTTTTCCCTGGGGAGTTTCTTGAGTGTAAAACGTTGTAAATGGGCGGTTTTCAATAACTTTGTTTTTGAAGGAAAAAGAAAATACGAAGTTACAACATATTTACAAAAGAATTACCTTATCTTTTTAATTATCGATCTAACTATTTATCAAATGATTAATCTGATGATGAATTAATTAATTAATTAACCAGTAGGTTAGCACGCTTTGTCCCTCTGTTTGCTGGGAAAAGGTTCTATTCAAATGCAAATTCTTGCAAAGACCACATCTGTTTTTTTTTCTTTTTTTTGTCCCATTTATTTAGAGTCTGGTGCCGTTGACTTCGTCTGAAAAATAGACCTGTTTCGGCTATCTGTTAGAACTTCAGTAAGATTTTGAGTATGATAAAATGCTCTGAATCAAAAAGAACTCAGTGCATAAAATAAATGTAGTTCCAGTAACCTCTAAGGAAACTCAAGAAAATTTCTGACAGAAACGGCTTAAAAGATAAATATCGATCACAATAATAATGATAACAATAACGAGAAGGATCATAATAATAGTATCCATGAAAATAATAATAAAAATTTTAAAAAATTGAAATTGCATCAGTAGCCTGAGTCTATATCAATCTTTATTTACATTTATTTTCGTAACTCGAAGGACAATAATATTACAACTTTTTGCTAAATTGATATCTGTGACTTTGCCAGCAGTTACTGAAAGAGCGAGAAAATAGATCATGTTTATTCAATCGGCGCACTCCAATTCAATATTTCTACGTGCTACCGTGTTTTCAAAGCAAGTCGCCGAGCCAAGTCCATACATAGTGCACGACATTCACTTCCGAGCTTGCCAATAAGCATATGAAAAGCGTCACGCACTTGCTCCAATATACCATTTAAGATTAGATAGGAAACACTAAGAAACACTTATGAATGTGGTATTAGTGGTCTACGCAAAATTCTCAAGTTCTTATCCCAGGAAAATTTATTCACGAAAAGTGAAAATACATAGTTCACATTTTCATCTATGCTTCAGTTTGATTAAAATGACTGAACGTTCGTGAAAACTGAAATGATTACTTTCGATGACTACGATGAAGCGTGGCTTTTATATCAGTTCCAATATTTCCTTCAAGATAAATAAGGAAACACTAAGAGATACTTATGTATGTGGTATTTGGTGTTTTTCTCAGAATTCTCAGCTTTTTATCTCAGGACGATACATTCACGAAGAGTGGAAGTACATTGTATATACTTTCATCTTCGCATCAAGGTTAAGGAGACTGAACGTTCATGGAAATTGAAATGAGTAGCTTTCCTATCTCTGGTGAAGCGTTTTTAATCGTTCCCTTGTTGTGAAAAACTTCATATAATTCACTTGCATTTTCAAAGTACAATATCCACTTACTTGTGGAGTGAAATAGATTCGGGCTACTTGTAATTTTATTTTATTGCCTTCTATTAGAAAAAAAATTCATTATCCAGAATAAGAAACTCGATTGATCCGATTGTGGCTAGTTACTTACTTGTTACAGAACTGCCGTCGATATCAATAACTTCGCTCGAGTTGTTTGAAGCCTTTTTATCTCTCCCAGCCTTCTCTCGGTCATCCACTGGATTATCACCCACGGCTTTCATGTCGCTGGATTTTCTGTCCCGAGATTGTTGACGGAAAGGGGTAGGTTTTTCCTCGAGTTCCATTTAGCGAGAGATAGTGCATATGGTGCGCGTGATAGCTGACTTTTGGGATTAATGATAATAATATTTTTACCCGCGTGCGATTGGTCGAAACGCCTTACGTGACCAAATACCCCTAGCTATAATTGGGGAATATCCGAACATACAACCCAAATGATAGTTCTCAATTTTCGAACCTTACATCCAATACAGAAAACTCTGCATTTAAAATTTCTTTTAGGACGAGAGAGCGGTGTGTGGTTGTAACAAAAGAACGAACATGTTTTTTTTGTTCATAAAATCGTACCAGAGAACACTGAAAAGTGAACTTTCCAGGCCGTCAACAGTAAGCTGTTCGTAAACATTTTTCCCGCGCTCTGAGGAATATTTGAAGAATAATAACCACACAGTGGCCTTCTTTAGGCCCTAAAATATGCTCGTATATTTATCGTTGGACTTTATCTGGTTCTCGAAGATCACAGTTTTCCTCGAGCTTCGCCCTCAGAAAAATATTCCCATCTCAGAACAGATATTGTCTGCAGACAAACATTCGTGCATATTTTTGCGTCAAATGGCTATTATTTATTTATCCAGAGTCACAACAAATAAAACAATTCATCTCTTTCTTCCACGTTGTCGGGTTCCGCAAAATACGCTCTTTCCAAATATAATAATTATCATACACTGTATAACCAATAAATATCCTAAGTGCTGCGTGTTGAATTTAAGAATTTGTTCATGCTTAGCGTGGGTATATCGAGCTATGGATGAACGCGGGAAGTTTGGAGAGCACGAAAAATGCGTAAGAGTAGCTCGAGGCGCAGCCGAGAGCAACTCTAGCTTTTTGAGCGACAACAAGGATCTGCGCGAAGAAGCCTTTCATTGTGATAGAGTGCAAAATTCTCAAACCGCACAAAAAAAAGTGAAAAAACGTCCCTATTGACTGGTCAAAAACACGCCACATTTTATACTTTGGTTTGAGCGTGAACATTTGATTCAGTTAACCGATAACTGTGAATGAAAAGCTCTAAATTTACGGGGAAAGTGGAGAAAATCAAAGCCAAATGAACTCAAGTGTCCTTAAAAATGTTTTAAGTGTCAAAGACCCGGTCTTCCGACAAATTTGCGAAACGTGCAACTTGCGAGTTTTTTCGGATTTATGTTTTTTTGCTTGTTGGATCAGGACCTAAAAGATCAATGCCGATAGAAAAATTGGCAAGTTCTTAGCTGGTTTCTTCCATATTTCAAAGAGAAGGAAAAATGCATTGCAGCTTACCAGGACGGAAACTCTGAAGCCAGGTAAAAAAATGCTTACGTCATCTTATTTACGCACAGGCGTACGTAAATAAAGATTTTGTTCATAGTGGCTCAATAGGACATATATAGGGCAAGCACGCGCATTGCAACGGAAAAACAGTCATTGAAAAATATCGCGGGTTAGTATCACTACTTACCGTGCCATTAGAGTATCTCACGCGATACGCACCCGATATTGGAAATGAAATAAAACAATTGCCTAATATTGTGGTTTAGTATCACTTAATTGAAATGTTAGTATTGAGAATGCTTACAATACACGTACATCGTTAGTAATTATTGATTATAGCATAGCGCGTGTGCTTGTCCTATATAAGTCCTATTGAGCCGCTGTGAACAAAATCTTTATTTACGCACGCCCGTGCGTAAATACGATGACGTGAGCATTTTTTTTACCTGCAGCCAGAACTAAAACATAACAGTTGCCCAAGAGAAAACTGCAAGTTTCCTGCTGTCTCTCTCCTCCGATTGCACCGTGCACGGTAGCGTAAACATTATTTTGGTCAATCAAAACCTTTGATAACTTCGGGTCTTTGACTTTTAAAACATTTTTTAGTGACACTTGAGTTCATTTGGCTTTGATTTTCTCCATTTTCCCCGTAAATTTTGAGCTTTTCATTCACAGTTATCGGTAAACTGGATCAAATGTCCTCGCTCAAACTAAAGAATAAAATGTGGCGTGTTTTTGACCAGCCAATAGGGAAGTTTATTTACTTTTTTGTGCGTTGTGAGAATTTTGCACTCTATCACAATAAAAGGCTTCTTCGCGCAGATCCTTTTTGTCGCTCTGTTATAAAAGAATTTGCTAATGCTTTTAGCGTCCGTATATCGAGTTATGGATGCACTTGGAAGTTTGGAGAGAACTCAAAAAGCTAAAGTTGCTCTCGGCTGCGCCTCGAGCAACTCTTACGCATTTTTCGTGCTCTTCAAACTTCCTGCGTGCATCCATAACTCGATATACGCACGCCAAGCATGAAAAAATTCTTAAATGTTTGCGTGTTTGTATTATGAAAAAATATACTCTTAATTCGCGCTGGTTGGTAGTGGGATTGGTTACAGCACAAAATTGCTCTTGTCAGAAGAAAGAAAAGATAAACACACTTTATCTTGTTTGACTAATTTTTTATTGAAAGACGTTTGTCAAAAATTACACTCATCTGGGGCGAAGCTAGAATTTTTGAAAGGAAGGTCGCGGTGACGAATTTCCGCGCGCCTTACTTAGTGTGGCTAATACAGTTGCTTACCTCGTGTTTCAGCACGCCCGCACATTCGTTCGAAGGATTATACAGATTCTTCAGATTCACGCGTTTAAGTTGAAGTGTAGAGAGTATTTGTTGTTCACAGACAGAATTATTTCACAACGGAGAATGGGTGTCATGGAGAAGGCCCCTTCCTGTCTACTTCGTAACTTAGGATTTTAATTTCTAGCCGCCATTTCGATACATAAGCCTGAGCTCAAAGAGGCTTCTGAGGTCCTCAATGTTAGAATTTCTTCTTGTTTCGAGTGCGGTACAAGTATATGGCGAAGTCAATAAACTCAATAATGGTGAGAATACTGCAGCCGAGAAACAATCCAAGATTGCCCCCAATTTCTCCTACGAAAAATGTTCAGATCACTGTGAGTAAATGGCGTTTGCTTCAACTGATTACCTCCATGAAGTAAGCAACTTGAATTCAACCACTGACACAGTGTTACATGAATGTTATGACTAACAAGGAATGGAGGCTACATCTGATGTCTAAGGCGGAAAGATTCGCGACAAAGCATTGCCTATTTTGAGAAAAAGATTTACATATAAAAATCGGGAGTGTTCAGGAGATAACTTAAGAATAAAACCCCCTTGGAATAGAGTAGTATTCAATTGAGTATCGAACGTGATCCTGGATTGCTCTGGTTTTGGTTCAGTGATTGGTCTAAAAAATCTCGCGCCACCTTCTCAACCAATCAAATGCCAAACCAAAGCCAATTCCAACTTGGAAACTCTTATTTTCCCGCGCTTCAGGCAGATTGTCTATTTTTATTATTAGTTAGTGACGACTTTAACCTTTCATCTGATTGGTACTTCCATTAGATGTATATCGGAGATTGGTGTCGGAGCTTGACGAAAAACCATCATTGATGGAAAGGATGCAATTTTTTTTTCACTAGGGAAACAAACTCATGTAAAGATGTCCCACAGAAAAACGGTAATTATATCAAGCTCATGAACTACAACTGCAGCCGGACCAACTTCTCAGCATGTTCCAGTACGATTATCAAGGAACTCAAATGTTAATGTTCTTTCAAAAAAACGTGAGAATAACTGAAACCAACTTACCCATGAGTGCCCCACTATCATATTGTGACTTCTGCTTGAGAACCTCATAACTATTTGTTGTGTAAGCAACTTGGAGGTTGATCAGGTTCTTTCTGCAAAGAAAAAACGCACAGAGATAAAAACATAAAGACATCATAGTAAAATTTTTTAAAAAATCCGAGTTTTTTATACATATCATACATACAGCGTCATAAGATATCGTAATACATGACACATGAATGCAAATCTGTGTCCGTAAGTGGGCAAGTTCCATAGCAGCTACTCTGCTTCAATTTTTTTGGGTTGCTGCTCTCGGAGTTGTGCAAGCAAAAAATCATTCCAAGAAGAAAATGTGAGGATAGGTGAACAAAATGTAAGAACAAAACTACTGATCACAATAAAACAATGCACACACAAAAAAAACCTAGCAACAAATGGGCCGCACTCGATTCATAGAACTACAGAAATTGCTACAAAAAGTTCATAATTTAGAAGCATAAACTAAATAGTTGCACAACAAGTTATAACACTTAGTTTTTCACTTTTTTACTTACTTCCATCGAATGTTTCACATACTATTCAGCAGTCTAGCTACATTTGACATACCTCAGATAGTCATCTGTCCTGTTATATCCTCTCGTTTGCAATATTTTTATGAGTGATGGGTTCGGAAAAGCCGCAGTAGTTGTTGTTGTTTCGTAACTGACCACGTCACAAGCGAGGGGACAGTCACATTTTAAAGTACCTGCCACCATCTCTGTATCAGATAATACATACGATTGCATGTTATTATACATTGTTAAAAACTGGACCATTGGATAATGCAATTCAAGAGTTTACATTGGCTTGGCCATCATGGGTTATGAGCCATTATACCATGCACGCAAATTAAGACGAGTTAAACCGGAAGTGTTTTTGAAACATTCCGTTTGTTCTTACAAAGTAAAGTTGGGAAGATTTAGTAAAACAATTATTCCACTCGCGCGTTGGATACGAGGTGATTAACGGGCCTCGTTGGCTATCTATCATCTCATATCCAACACGCGCTTGTTTATTATTATGTATGAATCTTCATTTTTTTGGCCAAAAATTTCATATAAAGTGGATACCAGTCCTCAAACCCATTTTCCTGTATATTGTGACCATAAAGCTAATGGTTTGAACCCGGAGATAGAGAACATCTGATCGTGTAGTCTGATCGTCCAGGTGAGGGTAGCCCTAAGAGGAAGTGTTCTTGGCAGAGGTTATTGACAATATTAAATCGATTTTCAGAGTAATAAATCACACTATCATATCATAAAAACGTTTGTCTGAAACAGCCTTGATCAGGCCTACAGAAAGACAGACAGAGAGACAGACAGAAAGGCAGACAGACCGTTATTCTTGGTGGTTGGGTCTGACTGTGCTGTGGCACAGCACAGTCAGACCCAACCACCGAAGAATAACAACACACATTAATTGAGGAGTCCAGACAAACAACAGGAGGCGAGATGGAAGGAAATAGCCTGTTTATTTTACCAACCAGAAAATACGTCGATAATGCAAGGTCTGTCATCCCTGAAGCAGATCCGTTCGTTAATTAAGCGATCTGAGAAAAAACAAATATCGTCATCATTAAACCATTTCATGAAAAGGAAATGAGTCAACAGTTCTTAACAATACCGTGCCGGATAATCAACACTACTCTTCTATGAAATTCCATAAGTCCTCGCAAGATGTTATCTTCCAACGTTGATAGGAACACCACGCCCATGATACAAGTGGTCAATTACATAAACGTAAACCATACGGTATACTAACACGAGTTCCTGTGTTGTTTGTACTACATCCCAACTACACCCACAATCTGTAAGCTGCTTTTTTCCTAATTGATCACCCTGCATTTATATTGATAAATTTGAGTTACATTAAAAGTGCCAACGTGTCCAATGATCGATCATTCAATCTCCATTATATTTCCCTAACATAAAGGACAGTGTAAACGCACACCAATCACTTAGATAGAGTAAAGAGATCCATTAAATTGATAAACAAAATTAGCGAAGAATATTCAAACGGCAAAAAAAAGAAGGGATGAATAGAAATGACAACATCAAGGAGAGCTTAAGCAGTTTGTTCCTTACCAGGATCATTTGGTAATCTACAGCCGCATTTCCTTGCTGTTTCATTTGATATACATTCGTAATAACATCCGTCAGAGTCGTACTTTGGAAAACCTTTAAGCTTTTTGCTGTCGGTGCATTTTGTTTCATAGGGCGATCTCTTGTTTGTATACTTTGAAACAAAAACAAACGAACAGACCATGAGACAAGACTTTCCTCCGTCTAAGGTGCTACTGCAAATAGCTGTACGATGCAAGTCTGAGTAAGTGAATGGTGACCTTTGGTACTTTTTGATTGGTCCCTTATGTAAAGTCGATCCTGGTAGTTTCTCGGCTTATTTGGCGAACTGAACAAATCGTTTTCAGGGTGTTACACCTTTAATATGCTAGATATTGGACAGAAATTTCAAAATTCATAACTTATGTTTGAGAAGTGGAGTTTGAAAGGGTGGATTCAACACACTCCTTTTCCCTCTTTATACGACTTTGGGTTGATTATTAATAGTTATATACAGTTTTTTTATTACCTCCTTCCGTTTGACACTGATCTGAGCATAACTCCCTGGAGCCACCAGGACATTTTTGGCGGGGTTTATGTAAACACCCTGATCATGGACAATGATCCGGATGCCCTCAGAGAAAGCCCCAACTAAGTGGTCATTCAAATTGAGGTCTAATATCATCGACAGACCGGTAGATGTATCGCCATAAGATACGTTCATTGCTTCCTTGCCATCCCTCCCGGAGTTGAATGTGAAGCACACCCCATGGTCACTCATAGTGGGGATAAAATCTTTGTAAGAGCACCCTCCATTCCGCAGTGCAGCAAAAATACACGTCCCAGGAATGATCATTCGCCACAGACTTGGACCATAGGCTTGTTGGAATTTTTTGTCATCGAACAATTTCTTGTCTTTCCGAATGATCTCCTGGAGTTCCTTCTTGTAGTCATCGGTGCAATTACTGAGAGCCACAGAAACGTCCTCGGCTCTGTGATCTGAGCAACAGCACAGCAAGGCCTCACCACAGGGCCTCCCCTTTCTAACATGCGCTGTTGCTTTGCAGGAGGGTAAGTCCAGCCCTAGTGATTCAAACTGTGGATCATCGTCTGTCATGAAAATTTTAGTCCTCGTAAACGATGTCATCGGGCACAAACTAACCGCAGGAAATCGCATTCCCTCTTCTGGGTAACGGATTCTAATGACCGTAGCAATGGGGTACTGGAAGTACTTAAAAATGCTGCTGTACATCGAATAAAGAACCCAGGCAGTGAAAGCCAGCAAGAGAACGAGCCAAAATATCCGCACATAAGGAGAGGACCGAACAAAAACGTTTCTGAGGCCATGAAGGCTTGAGCTTTCTGCAAAATCACTCCACTTTTCTCTTCTTGCACCTTCACCTTTTGCGTGAGGACTATCTTGAATGTAGAACGTTTTAACTGGATTATTCTCAACGTTGGTTTTTTCTAAGAAGTAAAAAAAAAACCTAAATTTTTCAAATAAGCTGGTGTTAAGAGAACCGATAAGCACAACTATCGGTAAACCGTAGTCCATGTAACCATGTAATCTTAAAATATTGTTCTGAAGATACCAAGGGGAAGCACTTCCTAAGAATATTTGATTTGTACTAATAATTAACAAGGTATCTCCATCCACGCTCCTTAACTCCAACTAAAGAAGTGTTCATCGGCCGAAATTTTAACCATACTAAGCAGCGTTTGTTGCTGTACATTTTAAACGTTACCAAATCACACTGCACGATTGTTCAATAAAGCAGTCCAATTAGATTGTCATTAAGAAACACCCGACCGGTCCAATCTTAAGAGCAGAAACAAACAAAAAGAACTCTATGGTCCTTAAAATTATCAACGGTTAGTCCCTAGCCGAACGAGGCGAAATCTTTTCGAGTTATATTGGAGGATCGTACCTCATGTTCAAAAAAGATTCCAGCGTAGCTGATGGTTAAGAAAGACTGTACCAGCGACAGGTGAAATATTAAAACGCTTTACCAAACGATATGACGTGAAAAAAACCATGAGAGCTCAGCCGGAAAAGAAAAAGAATTGTTGGAAAATTTTGATCTCTCTTCTGACTGTTAGCACTTTATCGGATGATCACATATATTTTGTCAGGTGTTTTCTAACATACTTTTTGTGGTTCAATTTTATCCTTGGTTCAAATTTTATTTTCTTTTGTTCTTGGGTATTGTAGTGTATGATAATGAGTTTGAACAAAGGAAAATAGAATTTGAACCAAGGATAAAATTAAACCACAACATACTTGTTTACATAACGGGAGAGGAATCAAGGCCCAGTTCAAACGTCGAACTTCACAAGACACAAACCAGAATGGGAGAATTAAGTCCATGTTAAGTGTGACGATTTAAGAAGTTGAGTTAGTCCAACTTGGATCGACCAACAAATATTGATAAGACGTATGAAGATCGACTGTGGGATAAGCTTCGATCTTTTCACGAATCGAACTTGATGGGTAAACAAAAAAAATGCCTTGTTTGAAATCCTACAGACCGAAAGATTTATTTTTGCCGCTCTGAATTGGTTCGACGAATTATAATATTCGATACTTGACCTTACGGTGGAACTTTTCCTGTTTAGGTGGACCAAAATGGCAATCTAGTTCTTTTCAAGTGAAACTCAACTTTTTAACTGTACCTATCGTTGATTATAATCCTGTGTGAAGAACTTAACGCTGAGCTGCACCTCTTTGCGAAGGAGAAGTCATTGTGGGAGCAAACGTTGTAATGACGGAGCATAATGTAGCATAGCATAATAGTCTTCGTACGTATCTATATTTTGTATAATTATTTCAAAATCGAGTCGGCCAAGCTTAAAATTAGCGAGGTATTGCATCAATTAAATGCTGACATCAACCAAAGAAAAAAAACTAACGAGCCTGCATGGATAGATCTTATTTTTTATTTCAATCACGCGTTTGGTAGCTCAAAAAATTGTCATAACTATAAAACTCAATACAATGGTGGTAATAGGGTTGGGAAAAATAAGCAGCCTAATGCAGTTTATAAATATTAAAGTTTATCTTTGTCGTGCCAAAATTGAATATTAAAGAGAGATGCTTTAAGTCGCAAATCGAATACGCCTGCTCGTTTAAATTAGGTTAAATTATATATTCTCGGCGTCTAGAAGATCCGGTAAAACGTTCTCGCTAAGATATTACATTCACTGAATCTCAGGGTGAGGGAAATATTCATGAAAGAGACCATCACGCTATTTCAATTTTCCTCATTAATTTCACTTTAAATCAATTGACTGAACGCGAACGAAAACTTAATCAGTAGCATTCTCGCTCTTTCGGAAACGTTTCCATAATGATAAGGATTACATGCTTTCTTCTAAAATCATCTACCTTTAAACGCTTGTTTGTTTTGACAGAAACACGTGCTATAATTAACTGTGTTTACCAGTAAAACCACTACTTTGGAAACCTTGGTTCGATGAATTCGTGAGTAGCACCTGACTACAATCAGCTGTTTCATTCGATTCGAAAGACATCTTATTCACACGATGAAGCAAACTCAACGACAGAATTTGTACAAGAATGACCTTACCTAGACTCGAACCGTTGTCAACATCTAAGCTCGTAAACACATCAATAACATGACTTGAGTTGTTTGGGCCATTTTCAAATTTTACGGTCTCTTCTTGGTCCTCCACCGAATTGATTCCCACAGCTTTCTTGTAGCTGGGTTTTCTTTCGCGAGATTTATCATGAATATGGGTAAGTTTTCCTTCCATCAAGCTGCTACAAACAATGCTTGAATTTCTATCGCGTCATGAATTATTCGGTGAGTCACGCGATGAGCGGTCTATCTTCGACCGAAGCTTTGTGACACTCCTAATCGTGTCCAGTCTCCTGAAAGAATTGTGCAAGTCACGCAAGAGAAATTCAACATCACTAGACCACGTCACTTGAAGAGGATTAGCAGTATGCAATTGGAACGTCGCGTTTGATCATATGCATACGTTAATCAGCGCTATAGAACTACCAAATATTACTATTAATGTCATTATTTTACATCAGAAAGTGATTGCATCTCGAGAAAAACGATGAAATTTTATTTCTAGAGCATTCGCCAAGACTAATTCTAGTTCCACAAGCTTTTTTTTACGATATTAACAGAAATTCCCTTTTTCATGCCAAGCACAAAATTTCCAACATCGTGAAGAATGTTACGTATGGAGCGAACGTTTAAGGTTGTTGTTTCAATTCTACTATTTAAACGTACTTGCTAACAAAAGATAAGCTCTGAGGATAAATAAAGGAATTAATTAAGTCACGGCTCAAGTAGCTTGCGACCAACTTCTGGCAAAGCAGCCAGTCACATGAAACGGCTTTATTTGTGCATTTCCACAATAAAGCTGTCGTGCTTTTCTACAGGTTTAAAGGAGAGTCTCTTTCTGCAAAGTCAGGCATTTAACCCTTTAATCCGCCCCTAACATCAGTAGGCATATTCTCCATACTGTTTTCTAGACATTTCCTATGGTAGTGACAAAAAATAATGGGTTTAACAATCAAGAGATTCTTTAGTTGGTGATCATTTCCTTTATTCTCATGACCTTAATGTGTGATTCAGAAGTGATATTGTAGGAAGAAATTAGATGCTAGTCTCTCTTAGAGTTTAAAGGGTGAAAAAATGCTTTGGTCCTATGATTCTTGATGAGTTATATCGCTAAGCAGTTTTTTTTTTCCATTGGCTTGAAAAGGTTTCATTTGTTTATATAATCAATAATGAAAATTTAAACTTACCCCTTGCAAAGTTTAATCAACAGTGTGTTCTTGTGAAAGAACTGCATTGGAAATCAAATAAACACCCAAAAATAGCCTCTGACTTTAAACGAGTTTTAATTTCTATCTGTTAATTTTAATAAGTAATGTCCTTTAACACAGAAAATCAAATTCAAAACAAAACTAAGGTTTACCTACACAAGTCTTCTGACGGGAAAACTGCAAGTAATTTTGACAATTTTTAGGAAAGAGAAAAACGTTGGTTATATGTTCTTTGTACTTGTGCAAACACTATCGACCACTGATAATTTCCTTAGTTTTGTTTTAAGTTTCAATACGTCAATACACACGATATCTCCCGGGGTGACTACTTGAACTTTGTTGAGAGGTGTAATTATTTATATTTTGTTGATCATGTAGTTTTCATTTGTTTCACACATTGTAATGTTTTGTAAACTTTGAGAATCTAAAGACCTTGACCATGCACGTACGTGCTCAACATAAATTCGACACAGCTGGGAAATTTTTGCATATAGCACTTTTAGTGGTGATTGAGTTTTTAAGACAAATTCCTCTTAAACTAAAAATACCGATGCTGGCGACATGATTTAGTCTTTTCCTTTTCTGATTTTCTGATTCAAGTTTTTAAGAACATTTTACTGGGCACATCACTTCAGTTTGATCTGCCCTGTGACCAGGGGAGAGAGCAAAGCTAAGGTTATCGCTGCAGAGATACCCCGAAGAAACAACTAAGTAAGCAGCGTGAAAGGGCAAGGAAACCTTCTGTCACCCACACCTATCAATGATCGTCCTCTTGGATGACTGTGCTATCACCTTAGGCTTTAGAAAAAAAACCTCTCGCAAAGTGTGGTTTGTTCCGCTTTCCCTCCGCTTAAAAGCGGTTATAAAAAAAAATCCATATATTTTTCATGTCTACGCATTGTTACAACTTGCATACAAAAAGCGAAAAAACATGACATTGATCTAGTTCAATTTTAAATCCAATCAAAGACATTTACGAAAAATCTCTTCGAGAAGTGATTTTATATTTTGAAGGAGAAACAAATGCATCTTTAACAGTTAGACCGAGTAATCTGGTGAAGAGCTAAGAACAGATGATTTGAGAATTCGATTTATTCTACACGCTTTGAACTTGTTATCAATTATATCATGCTGGCAATATCATTTATGTTATGAATAGGATCAGCGCCACGCCCCCGATAAATTAAACAAATTTCAAATCAAAAATTCAAAGGAAAAGGTTTTTTGGGTTCACAGATATCGCCAGACTTAAAAGCAATCAATGCCATGACCACGCAAATTTTTCTCTCGAAAGACAAAAACACTTGTTTTCACCAAAGGTAAAAAAAAATGTTATTTATCACTTTGTCTGGGAAAAAAGTGTATTCGATATCATGGTCAAATGAATACAAAACTGGTATTGAATCAATTATTTAAGAGAGGAAAGTCTTGCCTCTTAAGTCGCACATGCGCGAAAATAATATCTTCGTAATAAAGTAGAGGGCAATTATTGTTTGCCTCAGTAAAGATTCAAACAGCCTTTGAACCTTAAGCGTTGAACCCCACAGTTCCTTGCAAGGTAAATATCGATTTTAGTTGATTCAAAATTAAAGCCTCACGTTTTCGTAGAATTTTTCCGTGAAATATTCGGACAAGGCAAGTATTCATGTGAGAAAGTAAATTCGTAATGAGATCATCTGAGTACACCTTGATTTAGTAGAGTACGTGCATATATCTGCAAAATAAGGTCCTATAGTATGCTTAAATTTTTATATTTATCTAGTAGTTAATATAATATGAAGAGTACCATGTAAAATCCCATGATAACACAGGTCAAAATTTATTTAACGTGCATTTATGTCATTTACTCCACCATGAACAAATACGAATTGAAACTGAACTTAAACTGATGTTGTCTATGTATGTCAATTAGTTTTAAACTAACTGACATACATAGAGTTATTAAAATAAACCAAAGCTTAAACCTGTTTAAAAGCTGGTTTTTTTAAACACGATCTCAAATTTTTTTCCTCATACAAGCTGCATAAACTCATGTTTGTCACCTTTAAACGTAACACCTGGCATTGAAAATACAAGTTAGTAATTAATTGAATCCTATTGGAAATCGGGATTTTTATTACTCTGCTTCTGATTTCATTCAGTTAAACTTACTTTAGCTAAAAATGTCTTGCTGGTGCGAATCTGCTCAACTTATTTTCAAAATTATGGAGACGAGTTGTCGTCTTCAGATGTAGCATATTGAAAATGCAAATTGGCAATTACTAGAATCCTATGGAAGATTAAGTTTTGCAGTCCTCTGTCCCTGATTTTTATTCAGTTAAATCTACTCCAACTAAATATGTTTTGCTGGTGTGAAGGTATAAGTTTGAATATGCTCAACTTTTTTTTGTGGAGATGAGTTGATACAGCCCATAGAGCGTATTTGTACGTAAAGGTATCCCACAGTAACGCATAGTACATCAGAGAGGGCCAAATATGGAAAATAATGGTCAATTAATCCAGTATGGACAGAAACTAACTTCAGTGGCTTAAAAAAAAGGAATTGTAACAGCTACAGACTCACCTTAGCTCCCAAAGATAAAGGGTGAAAGGAGTTAAAAATTATTTTTCTCACTGAATTGACAAAATCTTCATCACATCATTACTTGATTTTCCTTAGAGTTCACAAGCAGGTGCCATTAGGATGGATTTAGTAGTATTACGTAATCATCATTATTAGATAATTTTGGTTTTTATCAACTGACTTGACTTGGACACCGTAAAGAATTTCAAAGCTGACATTTCAGGCGTTAGCCCTTCGTCAGAGCGAATAGAGGAATTGTGAGTTGTGTGCGTGTGTGTTTATATACAGAAAATAAAGTGGGAAAACGACGACGAGAAAAAGAAGAATTTAAAACAAGTATATATTGGCTAAATGAAAAGCGTTCGTTGATACTGTGGGGATTCATAGTGCCGATTTGAAAGATAAATTTTTGTTCAAGAAGTATGCAACGTTCCAAACTGTCTTGATTTATAGGAAGGCCGCAGACTTCCAAGTGCTGCTTAGAATGATTAGGGAGATTTCAGTGTCTGTCAACTGGTTTGGATGCGTCCCTTTCATTCCTTTCTATGTCGCATAGGTGTTCCGCGAATCGGTCACCTAGTCGTCCTCCTGTTCCACCAGTGCATATCTTTTATGACAAAGTGCAAGTTATGCAGTAGATGACATTGAAGTGATCAGTTATCTTAATGGATATTTGGGTCCCGATATTTAATCAACGTTATGAATGAAACGACAAGTTTTTTATCTTGCGCATTTGAAAGTACCGGGTCATTTTACCCTCACAAGAACTGCGTGGGTTTTTTTTGAGGGTGAATGTGAGGGTAAATAAAATGATAAAGGAATTTTTCCTTCTGTGACGTTAATTGTACTGACTGTCGGTGAACTTTTTGGGCGCGGAGGTAGCCCACTTCAGCGAAAGAAACAGATAAAAGACATAACTAGATAAAAGACGAAGAATGCTTTTGTCGCGTTTTAATGAAAGTAGTGGAGGTTGCGAAAAGATAGTTCAAGTCTCTGAATCGTTTTGAAGTAATTTAAAGT